GAGAGAGAGAGAGAGAGCTCGATTTTAAGGAAGCTTTGCTGCAACGCGCTCGACAGAAACCTGTATTCACAGGTTGTGCACGCCGGCCGACGAGATATCTACGTATTTGCATAAAAAATAGTTCGGCAAACTGCTGCGATACGCAGCAAATTGCGATAGCCGGCAAGTTGCAGGATTTCGCGAAACGAGTTTGCAGAGATTCTTGTAACCGCAGGAAGATTGAGTGAAAAATTTTTCGAATTTTTGGATATACATTTTGGAATATAAAAAGTACCAACAAAATGATCTAAATACATATTTCCGAGGAAGGAGAAATTTCAATTTCTATTTGCACTAATTATTGCCGAAGAGATTCTGGCGCAAGCGAACAGTTTCTCAATAATCTCTTCAATAATCGAACAATAATATTTGTTAGTTCACCGAGATGCGTTTCGCAGAGCGTCTGCGATGATCGAATTAATGCAAAACAAGTGTATGTTATGATACTCCGAAAGCATGTCGGGCCGCGGAGGGTTGAGGAAGTTCGCCGGTTTTTGCACCGACGACGGCAGGCCAGTGTGCCTTTGGCCCATATGCCGGCGAACCGGCCGACCAACCACATCACGACACATCTACTACGGCCCATCACGCGAGGAAACACACACACACCCCGGCATTCAGCCGCCGCCAATACCACTGCCACCGACGCCGGTGTGTGCCACGTGGCGTGTACGTACGGCTCGGCCGCTGCGAGTGGTTGTCAAGGTTAGCCACCTACTCGCCGCTTGTGGGCCTGTGCACTCTCCGGTGCATGCGAGCCGTCTTTCCAGCTTTAAAGTTTATTACGTGTTCGCGAGGAACATCGAAGGCTCCGCCGCCGCCGCCGCCGCCGCCGTTGTATGACTTTATAAAGGCAACCGTCGCGTCTCGCGATTATATTTAACGCGCTGTACGTACATATACGCGAAACGGCGCACAGTTGTTGTTCCGCGTGCGTCGACCTTGTTTTTATGAAATTCTGGGTCGCCAATCTCCGCGCCGAGGCCACGACCGATCGGACGGAGTCCCTTATCTGCGACACGCGGCTCGTTACGCTCGTTATCGCGAGGAGAAATGTTGACGCTAAAAGAGTAGCCAAGGTCAAACTGATCTTCAGTTTATCGCTGTCACTTAATATAGGCATTGTTTTCCGATATAGTTGGTTACTTTGTTTTTGCGTTGAATTTTGCGTCTCCAGAATATTCTAGAACCTTCGAGTTTAATCACTAACGACGGACCTTTGAAACGATTTCGAATCAATCTTATCTTTATTGAAATGTCGGAATGGCCATAATTTCAGAGCTAAATAAGACAGTTATAAAATTTCGATATATTGCATTTGTGAAACATTTCCATCTTGATGCAGCAATTTCTTCCAACTTGCACATATATTATTTCGATTCAACGCGTGATTTTCGGGAGCATCGTGCGGATAGATTGATGCGTGGATCGTGAACTGCATACACGCACTACCGGCCGCTGCCAGTTTTTTTGCGAACGCAGCAGTAGGACGAGAAAAGGTTAACTGGACGCGCCGATATTCCGTTTACATTCTTCGCCGGAACTGGTTTTCGCCGACGTGTCGTCGTTGGTCGTCGTCGATTCTATGCGGCCCCTAGAGAGCGAGAGAACGCCCGAAACGCAAGCGACGCTAACAAAAGCGAAATCCGGGAATTCC